TCACCTATAATGCTCATCTGGCGCAAGGTTCCGTCTAGCATCAGCACCATTATAAGCTAACATTGATTAAAATGACCCACTGTAGCATTTGAGGCGTGGCTACAGTAGCAATGACACGGGATGTTAGCATGTTCTGCCCTGCCTATTCATATCATTTCAAAAAATAATGACAAGTGTAATGTGAGTTTGGATCTCTAAGTAGAAGAGAAGAAATCGTCTGCCAGCTCATTGAAAGTGTTCGTAATTTGATACAAATGTTTATCACATACAGCTTCTCCAGGAAAGCGAAAATGCATTGGTGGTGATTGTCCCATTGGTGTTCCAATGATCCGTGAACCCATATCAGTGGATCCGCATCTTTTCAGGCGCGAACAAATATTTAGGTTACTACAAATGCATTTACACAAATGCCTAGGACATTTGTGTGAGCGAAATATAACAAACTTATGGCATCTGCGTGCATCCGTCGAAAATAAGACAGCCCATCTGCTTATAAAATGCACTTGTTTGAAAGAGTTATCAAAGGAAATGCCTAAAATGCCATTACGGAATTTAAAATGGAGACGTCAGTTGCCCAAGTGGGCACAACTGCTGCACGATGAGAATGCAGGTAAGGCAAGTATCTCAAACCCCACGGCTGTTAGATCGCCCACCCTTAAACAAATGCCTTTCTTCTCGTACCTCCTAATTTCAATAGCGTCGGATCACGACACCCACAATGGAGGCAATATCAGTGCTTTAATTCCAGAGTTGAGACGCTTTCTCACCCGACTTGAGCACTGTCCATTGAGCCATCCATCACCCGAGGTGATGAGCTGTGATGTTTTGCACCTGCATATGAAAGTCGTGTTGTCACCTTACCCAGTTTTATAGATGCCATTTCGCGCATACCCTATTGTCGAACTCGCATTCGCACTTGTCTGGCGACACGGTTTATTGTGATCAAATGTGAGCGCTAATACCACTTCCGATGACTTGCCCACCAAAAGCAGCCCACTCAAAATAGGCTGTATTTATTTTTAATGCAAGCATGGTATTACAGCATACGGTGACTTCAAGAGTAGAAAAAAAGTTGAAATGAAGGAATGAATACGTACCCGTGCAATAGGCGACAAGAAGATGAACTGTGGTAAATCTTAGCAACTTGTACAAGTTGAACAAGTTGTACGACTGTGGTTGACAATTGAGTTTCTAGCAGATAAAAGAATTGTTAACTGACGTTTGATTTGCCTTCATTTCTTCTCTAATCAATTACCATCCGCAACAAGTGAGGCGCAGTGAATGATTGAGGGAACGCAGTGACTTGAAGCACTTGCCCATTATTAGTGCTAGTGTAACCAGTCTTGACATGCATAGCATTATTCGTGATGCAACTAGCTTATTGGTTTAGAATACCTCCGCGCTCCTTTGATTTCACTTAGGCATACCCACATAAGTGAAGAATGCACCTTTCTGGCCTGTTCTTTGGTGGAATTTGCACAGCAGCCGACCCAAAGTTGTGCACAAATAATTCGTCAGGGTTAAAGTTAAATGGCAGTTTTGCTTGACTCGTCCATATTCCTGCTGTCAATCCAATGTTACTTAATCTGCCTTTTTGCGACCATCTTTATTTGGCCACAATAGAGTTTGACTGTTACTCCGACTATAGATTCAATTAATTTTGCTAAAATAAGTACAACGTTCTCGCCATTGATAATCATTGTTCCTGATGTTACTGTCGGCTTTAAAACAACACGCGAACCCCACAACTGTGCACATGGGTCACCTTCAAAGAAAACGTGCATTGAACGCCTTTTGTTTTATTTATGATAGCCTCATTAAAACAGGGTGGGAAAACATGAAAGGACAAGGAAATGTTGTTAGGGGAGACGGCGCAGAGTTGCGCAATATACAGTGCAAAGTAGAACTGCAATTACCTCCAATATGGGGTGTGTCCATGGACTAAGAGGTGTCCCTTGTGGAATTATGTACGTATTGCACACTGGTTGGCAAATTGATCAAAGGCCTTTCACACCTCACTCGTCACTCATATAAAATGGACTTTTTCCTAAATAAAGGCTAATTGCATAGACACCTCTCAATCATGCTTTTCCACCTACCAGGTGTAGTCTCACATCTCAGTTTCTGTGGGACACTGGGATGGATGGAGAGAATATCTACGGTTCAAAATTCAAATATCCTTTACAATTCAAGTAAAGTGAGAAGCAAAATCGGCCGAATATGGCAAAGAACGGTATCCAGAAGGCACATTGGTGTGAAGATGGAGTAGTAAAGGATAGATTCACATTCGAGACGCCACATTTTACATCAAATGCAGTGTTTATAATGTTTGATTTCACACCACCACAACAGTGTATCAGACGACTCCACATTCAGCATTTTCTAAAGCACATTTATTCACTGTGAATTCGCGACATTCGGATGAGCCCATTTGACATATCGTTGAGGTTGCGACAGTATCAAGTGATGAGGTCGTGCAGTGCACACAGATCATCGAGGCTACTCCATTCATTCGAATTACCTCTAGGTGGCCAAAGCTGTGTTGGCATCGACTATGCAACATTACTGTCGCCAGCTCCTTCCTGACAGCTTGCTTATCCGTTTGGCCACTTCTTTGCAATGACTTCGCTAGCCATTTGCCGTAGCACCATCTGTATGCGTGCTTGAAAGAATTGCTGGTGTGTAAATGCTTGGTAATGTGCAGAATTTATCAAAGTCAGGTTGCGCCTCGTCATGTTTGCAAGTTGATTTGGATGCAAATTATGCTAACGCCACTGGGGTGACAACACGGCGCATTGACTTTATTCACGTGCCACTCAAAACGCCTCCAATTCGCCTGACCCTCAACAACTTCTCTTTGATGTACTGGCAGTGTGGGTGGACGTGGAGGTTGGTGTTTTGCTCCACACAGTCCTCACGAAAATACGTGGGAGCACGGGGATGTAAGGAGAATAGCAGTAACTCACCAGACACACATTGGTGAGATTAGCAGAAAAGGTCACACTTGCTCGATTTCAAGAAAGCCCTTAGTTTGCCGGTATGGAAAGACGTTTTTTGCTTTCTTGGCATTAATGCAAGTTGGTTAACTAGTTT